ATTAATTATGTATAATTTTAGATAGTAATAAAAGTTTGCTACATAAAATTTGTGTACAAGTTATTGCTGTGTTATTAGTCAAATTAGTTAACTTCAGCCACATTATCCTCTCGCTTATGTCACATAATAGTTCCCCATATTAGTAAAAGTTTAAACGAAGGTCATACTTCCGAAAATATCGACTAAAAAGGTTAGTATTAGACGTAATTTCAGACAGGAAAGAATTATGTTTGCGTGCCCTCTCACTTAAGTATGCAGTACAAATATAGTGGCAAATTTACTCTAAATTGGTCTATTACTATAGCTTAAGCGTTTTCATATTAATATTAAACAATGACAATACCGTTATTATTATGGCTTTAGCCTCAACTTTTCTGGAAATCTAAGCCTACTTTCCATATCGGTACAAGAAACACCTAGTAAAGAAATAAAGGCCAGAATGGAACACGGGGACTGGTCTAGACAGACATTATTAATTATGAGTCACACCCGTTCCGCCCCGCCCAACGCGGTATATTGATAAAAATCTATGATTATTCAAAGGAGCGGCACATGACATTTACAAAATAAAAATCGGCACACATGATCAATACTTTAATCTCTCATTCCCACCCCCTGAACCTCTCACTTATCTAATGTCAATAATTGTGAGACCCACTATCGTAATTAGCACCGCCTGCCTTTCTGAGTTGAGTTAGAATTTCAGATTCAATCAAGTCGTTATTATCGTGTGCGGTGGTTTCAATTGCATACGCCTAATTCGGAAATGAATATCCAATTAGAATTCAAAGAAGTCTAACACCTTAGCCACATCCCGTATATCATGTTAGACGGTTCCAATACCTAATCCATCCCCGTACTTACATTCAACACGCTCTTGACATCGCTCACATGCACGCTTAACTTTGCCTTTCTCAAAATCTTGACTTTACTTCCAATCCACGTAACAAACACAAACTTGGTTCTCACAGATAGTTCATCATTAGATACGTTCATTCGAAGATATCCAAATGCTGCTTGATCTGGAGAGAGCTGTTCGGTGAATTCTTCCAATCCTCCAGGACCTAAATTGTGAGTAGATTTGAAGGATAAGGGTTGTAAGAGGGTGGAAGGATGTTGCGCGAATTGAGATATTGGAGGTACTTAATAATACAAAGTATGTTCGATATAATTACCTTTCGCAGCTAAAACTAGCTTGTCGGATTTGTCATTTTCGTACTGAAGAATTAACCTATACGATTATGATTGATAATCGAGAGTATGTAAGGGAATAGGAAGTCGATGAAAGTGGGATAGAGATATGAGGCGGAAGGTAATGAGGAGCGTTGAAACGATTAACGTTAAAGAGGGGGGGGGGGGGGGGGACAGCACAGCTTATAAAATGTAATAATGACACTTGTTGACATAACTATGAATGCCATTCCATATCTATTTTGAGATACGCTCCAATTACGCTACCTAGCATCAACCCAATTACAAACCCAATAAATCGCAGTTCTCCCCACAAACGCTACCAGTTTGTATCATTTCTGTCATCTCTAACTTCTTCGTATGTCTCCCTTATTATCGGATCCGAAACATCTGCCATTATATTGTTTAATTTTTATTCCTTTGTATATATCTATCGTATATCTATCGTTCCTGCTTTCTCCTAACAACAACAAAATACAAATTATCATTAATATTGGTTATGGAAATAAATTTAACAATTACTGTTATTGTGAACTGCTAGCACCTAACAAGCATGCATCCAATGTTGGGAATTTCAGCCAGAATGCGAACCAACAAGCCTGATAGTGAGGCGAAATAATGCGAGAAGGATTCGAAAAAGATTTGGAATACAGTGAAGATGCTGAGCTTGGTGCCTGAAAGGAAGAAAAAATATGCAAGTATGTGTGGGACTGGATTTGTGCTACATTGATCGTGCCCGATTTGAGAGAATACCCAGGCAACAAATGTTTTCAGAATATTAATATTAATATGGTTTAGTAATACAGATCACATTAATATTAAATGCTCTCGCAGTAACCATTGCACTTAATGAAATTAAAAACGTTATTTACAGATCTGTAATGGTAGCGGCGCCGTTTTGCAATAAACGGTAGAGCTTCTAAGACTTGTAAATCGTAATACTTCTAACGCCATACCCATATCAAAATCGAAAATGTGAGAGATATTGAATTAAATGATCCAACGAGTCATACAGATACAAGAGATTTCGATGATGGGATAGTCAATAAGCCAGCTAATGCATGCAAAGGCTCAATGATTAGATAAATCCCACAATAATTAGACGCGAAAATTGCGAATACCACTAATAGAAATAACCGCCAAGGGATTGTTTTGGTTTTGCAAAGCAGAGGTATTAAAAAAATGTTTGATGAGGAGGTCCTGATTTATTGTAACCTAGAATTATTATCGGCAAGAACGCCACTCTATGTGGGCTGGAAAACCCGAATAACAGACAACAGTGATCGACGAGAAAGCTTCTCATAGTTAAGATAGAGCATAGAGCTAATCTCAAGGTCAGCGCACCCCATAGTAACTGGCACGATAACATCTTTATGAAGTTTGTCCATCTGGGATAGTGACTAATACGCCCAACTGTTTGCCCATCGTAAGACCAATTACAATGCGATTTATGGGTTCCTTTTTAAGAAAATACTTTAGCAACATATTGGGGAAAAGCAAAAGTAGATTATTTATTTGGATTACAGTGGTAGGGAAGATGATTTTTTTTGTCTGTTGCTGAACAGTTGTCGTCTTCAAGATAGTTGTAATTAAATTACATCGTATAATAATAAGTACAATAACAAGAAGCATAATAACAGAAGTATAATAGACAAAAAAATTTGAATAAGTACAAAATTGCCAAACTTGTGTAAAAAAATTTTTGAAATAAAATAAGCCTGAATAAAGTTGTATGTTTACTTAATGTTAAGCAAATTGCTCAACAAAAGAGAGAAAGGTTAAGTTATTATAATTATTATTGAGATGAGTTAACACCAACTAGATAAGCAAGTGTTTATATTATTAATTTTATTATTGCTAATCAAATAATTATGATACTTTTCATAAATGTGTACTTGCACATGAGAAACCTGAACAAGAAGTGTAAGTTTGTAAAAAGTAGAATAATTCCAAGCTGACAGAATTTTTTGGGGAATTTTTTTCAAAGTCTTGATGTCGTTTCTTGATATCAGCTAATACGAAAGAACTTTTAAAAAACAATTATTCTAGTTTTGACATTATTATTGACAAGTCTGGAGAAATTATGTCAAGCTGAACAAAACTGGATGATCAAGAACAAACAAAATAGTCACATCTTTCCTGATTCAAAGACTGTTCAACATACTTCAGTAAGTTCCTTGGAAAATTTGCAGGCGACATCAGTAGATAGCGCGAAAACTGTGGCAAAATCTCGAAATAAGTAAGAACTGAATATATAGGAATATGAGATAAAAATGCGATAATGTTAATTTGATATTAAAATTCGCACAAAAGATAGCAATAGGATTTCTTTGAAACTATTAGTTCAAACGCTTAATAATCGGTAAGACAGTGTTGATCAATCAGGTAAGTCTAAAAGGTCACCATATTAATATAGATTTCCATCATTGGAAACAGTAGTGTATGAAAGATATCCTAAACCCCTTTCCTCTAAGTGTTCGAGAACTTTCCCACGCTTTTGTTGAATGCTTTTCATTAAAGTTTCACAATTATCTAATAGAGGATATGTAGGATATGTAAATGAAAGTGGCAGATATGATCCTGTGATTAGTTTAAACCCGATTATTGTTATATTGTTTTCAATATTGTCATCCCCCAATAAAAATCGCCGAAAGACCCACAAACTTGACATAATAATGTAACCTCCCATCTCCATATCCCCAACGCAGCATTAAGTTCACATGATTGCAGTCGATTATGACGTCCTAAAATTGCATCTGCCGACAAGGATTCACGTTGTTGTTGCTGCGATCGCGCAGCGGATACATTTTGCTACAAAACCCATAGTCGGGTAATTCTCAATATCCTATACATAACTCAGATAATTGCTTTGCCTTAATGGTTATTCATACATCATTATCGACCATATCAGTCAAATTGGTATGTGTTGTTAATGCACAATGTTGCCGGTATTGTGTAACATGTTACATATCCGAGTCGTTAAAAATAAATCCATTGCCAATGTATATGACGCATTCAGTTAATAAATCATTGCCAATATATATGACGCATTCAATTATTAAAATCGTCATTGTCTATCAATGATCCCTACGTCATTGGTATTTAGCGTACGTTGTATACTACCTGCCCGCTGTTAGCTCATTAGCCCATTTATTACACCTTCCGTCCGCTCACCAAATCGGCTCTAGATGCTGACGATGGTGGCCGCATCTGACGCAACACGATGACTGGTTACGTGTGAACAGGGCGCAGATGTTGTGTCGGATCAATGCAACCATGACTCACACTTATATTTAGGTTAGGTTTAAAAGTGACCAAAGGCACCGCACAAGGAATACATTAAAATAATATACTGCATTAGTATATGTGATTAAGATCACCGAATCGCCTTACCTGAACACCATACCTAACACAATGACTGCGTAGATAAAGAACAGGAATACAGATGGTATATATGTATGTATGTATATTTTATTTATTTATACTTGGTTATATTATTAGACTTAATTATCTCATCCATATCATCAATCTTTATATTTAACCCACCTTGCCAACCGAACACTCCCCCGCGCCTTAACTGCCCGTTTTACCTCATAGAACGAGACGACATAGATATAACAACTAGAGACAACTTATATATAATATAATATCAAACCTGTTTATTGGGACAGCGAGCCAGACTACTAGCAGCCCACCCAACTATTCATACTAATCACTATACTACTGTAATTTGCACACGTTAACGACCAATATAGTATAATATCTTCTACTCACTATTATTCACACATACTCACGCATCGCTCTACATAATGTCCAACAAAAATAATGTCAATGGAGTCAGAGTCGAACCAAAGCGCTTGCAGTAAGTATTAACAGAAGTAAAAGTAGAGGTGAAAACAGGAAGGAAATCTATAACGTTCTACTTGTGTGTAATTAATTACATTATAATACTCACAACACTTGTAAATCACTTTTTATTCTCTGCTCATCATTGATTTAATGCTTTGTTCACCAATCTACGTGCTTTCAACCTTTACCATTTCACCTCCTAATGCAGAGACCCTTCCACTCTCGAATCCTTGACTTCCGCTATTCAAGGTCTATCGACTTACGTGACTCCTTATCTCCCATCACATCTTTCTCTCCGAAAGGTTGCCGGCAGCCAAACGGACATTTACTCTCAATTTAATGGAGGATATTATGGCAATCACGGAGGGAGCGGGAGGATTGGGAATGGAATTAATTATGTCCATGATGCTAATTTGCGCGGTCATCACAACACTATTAATAATATGGATGGCACTACTAATGGTAATCCTAAGGTCTCGCATCCCGACAACGACAATGATCAGAACACGATGGAGAATATGATGCAGTTGCAAGTGCAAGGGCAAATCGAGTCAAAAAAAGACGTGATCTTGTACAGCGGATTCGATGAGATTGGAGAAGGAGCTGGAAGGTGAGTTATTAAAGGATTAGTGATTCGATGTGGTGGCATTATGAGAAAAAGTCTTAAATATATTAAGGATGGTATTACCCAATAAGGAAATACGATAAATTAAGGACCATTCAAGGTTACACCGTTGTTGGAAATTTAAATCTTTGACAATTATTCCACCATATATTTACTATTATGGAACTTTTTGCTCCTTGTACTAACATCCTGGTATCAATACTCGTTTCTTTACAGTCAATCAGTCTTATGTCTAGGATATACGGATGGTTTTCAGATTTGGAATATTACATCATTGGATAACATTCAGGAAATGGTGTCTATTAAGCATGACAGAGAAATAGGATGTGTGTATTATGTTAAGGTAAGGCAAATGGGTTGAAATTAAGAAACGAGTTACAGAAAGCACCACCAAGACGGGACTCTGATGTTCTGCAATACAATTACTTTTTCCTTAGATAATCCCAGCCCCACGTGAAACATCAAGAGAAGATCCATTCAAAAAGTATCGGCCACTAGCTGCTATAGTGTAAGTTGTACACATCATGATCTGTTCATGATGGAATACCTACGCTATAGTCATTACGGACAAATGCAACACATGCAATATGTATCGTCGCAATGATATAAATCAAACGGAAGCATGACTTATCCTCTTTTTTATACCCGCTTAACTTTCACAGCTGTGCTCCACAAGAGGACAACCCATCAGACACCTATACAAATAACTCACGCTCAAAAGCTGTTGTGAGGTTATTTTCGTTAAATACATGTGAACTTGTTGCGGGATGGAGTTTAGATCTTGAGGGAACGATTGCTGGGATTAAGTGTAATGATCGGGTCATTGTTATTGTAAGTTGGATCATCGGTTGGGAAAGAAAGAGGGTTTGGCATATGGAAGCGAAAGGAAAATGGCTGGAACTTTTGCTGTAGTTCCGATTATCTTTTTTTTAAATTTATATTAACGTTCATCTCGAATCAATTCTGATATCGTACGTCATATCTTCCTGTTATAGTCCACGGCATTTCCACCTCGCCTTTACATTAGCTCGACTTTAAACCTGGCTCCACTCCGTCCGTCGCCCCTGACTGATGTAGCGGTACACCCGAACACTAGGGTTCCAGTCTTTACTCTTAGTTCACGACTCTTGGCGTATGCAACAACTACGGCCCCGAATCGGGTGAAGAACGAACGAAGTGGAGTTATGGCATTTCTGGCCAGTGGGTTGGGTAGTGGCAATGCACAAGCAGAGGGGGTTGGGTACGGCGATGAGAGCATGTTTGGAGAAGAAGGCGTTTACTATGAGAATGGAGGGGTGTGGGATAAGGGCTATGGAGATGTTGCTAAAGGTGTTGCTAAAGAAGTTGTTAACGGAGTCAGAATTTTGGGTAAGTCGAAAGGAATGGGCGCCAGAAAGTATAATTGGGGAGGGAAATTGTTGGGTGAATCAACTTGGAATTTCACCAGTTATTTAATACTAAACCATTTTCTTCTGTTTCCAGGCGATTACGGCTACCAAGCCCTATCTTCTTACTTCCTCTCTCCACCTCATATAAACTCGACTCCACCCTACCATTCTTCAACCCAACCGATCAATATAAACAGCTCTATTGATGCAAACATGACCACTGGCGGAACTCGACCAAACGCTTCTCCACAGATGTCTCCATCAAATAACATGTTTCGAGTTGGAAGTTCTGAAAGTAATACAAACGGAGATGTTGGTGAGAATGGCTTTCACGGGAATATTAATGATGAAAATAACGGGGCTGTTGTTGGTGCGGTGAGTATTTGCAATGAGCGTTATGAAATGGAGCATAGGGGCGAAATTGGGGGGCGAAGGTTGAAATAGTGACAGTATAGAAATGACTTTTGGATCGATATTTACGAACTAGTTAATGAACTTCAACCAAGTCTAATTAAATTTTGTATTAAAATCTCCTAAACCAGATAATTATCCGCGATTTAATACCGATCCCTTACACCACTGCCGCTGGCGCCTCTACAAACATTTCAACCGTCCACACCCATCGCAAGCATGCGGCACTGACTCTTCCCGTTCTCTCTCACTTCCAACCACACACTAATCCAATATCTCAACTCTCCTTCAACCCATCCGGAAACCTTCTTTTTACAACCTCGATGTCGGGCCAGACTTTTCACGTGTTTGAAATTCTCGGTAGACGACGACCGGGGAACCGCAAACCTATCAGACATTTGTACAAACTTACACGAGGTTACACGAACGCGAGCGTTGGTGAAAATGCAGTGGCGTGGAATGGGGATAGTAGGTGGTGCGGTGTAGCTACGGGAAGAGGAACAGTACATGTGTTTGGGATCAACCCTTTTGGTGGGCCGATGGATGTTAGAGCACATTTGAGAGGTCGGGTTAGTAACATTGATGAATGGGTAAGTATCGCCGAAAGGAGACGAGGTTTAGGACTGACTACCAATGATTTCAGTTGTAGAGACATACTCACAAACATTCTAACCACTATTCAAACCCATTTTTACCATTTTTCGTCTTAAATTTCTCATCCATGTCAGCACGACACAACGTCTCACTCCCCAATAATTCGAATAAAGCCCAGAACACCTCTTCCCGTCCAAGATCCAACCGACTTGCCAGCGCCGCCAGTTCCTTTTGCGAATGAGCTGTACACACTAGGATCAATCGACTCTACACCTTCATCTACGATTGTATACGGAAGCAACCATTCGAATTTATGGATGCAGCACCAGAACGTTACTACATTACCGTTTATGAAAAGATCGCCATCAATGTGTTTAAAGTTTTTGAATTCCAACGCGCGAGATGGGCACGCTAACATCGGAGTAAAGAAAAAAAGCTCCAAATCTCCGACGCCAGCTAATGGGATTCCTAACGCACAATCTAGAGGACGAACAAATCCGTCGACACAGACTCCCTCATTGTCTTCTTCGCCATCATCAAAAGTTCCTTACCTTTCCACAGATTCGTCTTCATCCTCAACGAAAGCTGCTCCTCTCGCTAATATCAACCATCAACAACTTTTGACGTTCCACCCATCGGGTATATTAACACTGCATCGTATTCGGATGGAAGGCGTTGTTATACGCTGTGATCCGGTTTCTAAAGACGATACGCCAAAATCTGCCGTTGCGAGTATGGGCCGCGCTTTAGTCGATGGAGCCGTTGGCGTCGTTGGGGGAACTGGTTATAAAGATGGTAGAAAGGACTATAAAGGAGAGGAAATAGAGTTGTCGGTTAAATACGATGATGTAGCAGAATGGAAAGTTTTTAGAGGTTCTGATTGGGAAGAGGTTAAGATTGGATATGAAACCCCTTCCAATACCAAAAGCAACGGGACAACTTTATCTAAAAGCGAAGCTCTCAGCAGACAATGGCTTTCTCAGGCCGAGATCTCTACGCATACAACATCGCCTATGTCTTTGCCCCAACCGCTGTTCCTCACTCACCAGTTTACTCTACAAACCTTTAAGGGTGCAAAGTCGAATGAGGCTATTAAAGAAGGGAGAGTTCCTGATGGAGAAAAAGTAGAGGTCAGAAAAGAAGTAGAATGTGTCAACGAACCAGGGAAGGTATTAGGCGGTGAGGATATTTCCGGTAAGTTCGAAGATGTATAACAATGGACAAGTGATGGTAGTTTCTTTGTACTGATACGTGTTTACAATTTTCTAGCAAACATCACGAGTGCAATGAATACATGCCTCGATGTCTCGTCAGCAATTCTGGTACTCCCAACTACAACACTCTCCTTTGAAGACGCCCATCTCGTACAACTCGCCCAGAACATGTCGACGATAACATCTACAACTCCACTAGACATTTTCAATTCAACAATGAAAGGATCGTCAGCTCCGCCAACGAAATCTGACGGATTGTCTGAACCATCGGCCAACGTTGTCAACCAATCCCCCAACCAGAGTTCCAACCGTTTGTCTGAATCTGTTTCTAGCGATTCAACTTCAGTAACTCTTCTGGCCCAAGTGCCAAATTTCAATCTCGCTAGCGATCATTTCGCAAACATCCCTCATATCGAGTCTTCGTTGCCTGTTGAATTGTCTGCTCATGCAGATGATTCTGAACTTGATTATTTAGGCGAGGAGGGGAATTTCTTCTTCTCACCTGATGGAGATAATGAAATTGCGCTGCCTGGGGAGAGCGTTTTGGATGAGGAATGAACATTTGAAGTAAGAATAAGTTGTGTTTATATACAAAAGCTTTCTTTTTTTTTCTTCTTTTTCTTTTTTGATTTATTGCTTTGCTTTGCTAGAATAATTATATGTAAAAAAAAAAAATTGTAAAAATTTTGATTATATATACATAGTTCTCGATTAGTATCATATAATTAACCACAGTCGGGAAGCGAACTTCCTGATATCTATAAATAGTGCATGATCTTGACTTTGTATTTCATTTGTAAGATGAAGCGTTCTTTGTAAATTTTGTCTTTATTTCTTTGCTTAACAAATATTATATAAAGAGTTATATCTATGTATAAATGAATCGCAAGTGTTAATTATCATGGAATGAGTTAGTACAATGGATAGCTCTAGTGCAACTCTCTAGTGCAACTCGTATGTGGACTTTCTTTTATCACCGCCATTCAACATACAAATCCGGTCCGATTTTACATGTTTCTCTGTAACTTCATATGCCAGCGGTCCAATTTCTCCCTCTTCTCGCCCCTCATTTCCTTCAACAAGTCCTGGTTGCGCTTTTCCTCTTCCCGCTTTTTCTTTTTCAAGCTAGGTTCGATTTGCTCTTTGGTCAGAACACTGGTTAACTTTTCCAAGCGATTCAGGGTTTCATCCGTAAAAATATCTTCATCACGAGTTGAAAAGTAAAATTTCTTTATTTGAGAAGAAACTTCAGATTGAGTAAGTGGCTTCTGAGAGAGAATTTTTATACAAAGGGGAACGTGGCTAGTCATTGTTAATAAAAGGATGGATGAACACTATCGTTGAAAGTGGCTAAGTACAAATTATAACGATCTACATGATGTCTGATTTAAGCGAATATGGTATTATTGCAACTCTAGATTTATTATAGATGTTATTAATAAAGAGTAGAAATGTCTCATCGTTGTCAACAATACAAATTTTCCAATAACACCACAGTGATAACATTATTAATTTGAAAAGAATCGTTAAAATTTATCGTAAACAAAAATTTTAAGATCTCTCCCCGCGAAGACGCCTGGCAAGTTGGATATCCTTTGGTTGGATAGTAACACGTTTGGCATGGATGGCTGCAAGGTTGGTATCTTCAAACAAGGCGACCAAGTATGCTTCAGCTGCTTCTTGTAGTGCACCGATGGCCGAACTTTGGAATCGAAGGTCGGTCTTAAAGTCTTGAGCGATTTCACGAACAAGTCGTTGGAAAGGAAGTTTGCGGATAAGAAGTTCTGTGGATTTTTGGTAACGTCTGATTTCTCGGAGGGCTACTGTTCCTGGTCTGTAACGATGTGGCTAGAAAAAGATATGAATTGATAGACAAGAGATATATAGATAGGAATTAGTGCAAAGTCGAATGTTAAGATAGACATTTATGTTGTTGTTGTTGTTGTATTATTATTAGCGGACCTTTTTGACACCTCCGGCAGCAGGTGCACTCTTTCGTGCGGCTTTAGTTGCCAATTGCTTCCTGGGAGCTTTTCCACCAGTTGACTTGCGAGCAGTTTGCTTTGTTCGTGCCATTTCTTCTTAGGGTTTTAGCGATAAATTGATATGAGGAAGTGTGTCTTTGTGACGTTTTGTAAGCAAGACCAATAATCTCTCTAACGGGAGAGCCTGACAAAGGGGCCTTTTTATCTGTGGTGGGAGCAAAGACGTTGCCTCGCGATACGCGTAAAGTTGTTTTCTTTTTTTGTTTTCGGCTACCGATATTCTGCGTATTTGTTTTGACCTTTTAAGTTAAAATCACTGCTGCAACACGTACCTTGACTGATTCGAATAAACAAAATAAAATTACACGTCCTGATTTAGGCTGATTCTCGCGAGCTGCATCAGGAAATACACAAAGGTACAAATAGGAAGACGAGTGCTAATGCAGATGACACAAACAAAAAACGCGTGAGGTCTGTCGAATCAGTTTGCGTTTGTGTCGTATTTTGCACATCCGCTCCATCTCAAAACAATCAACGCGTGACCTCAGATCACGACACGTATCACATTTATATAAATATCCTCCAATTTTGCCCTGCCCTCCCGATTATCGAGTATTGCTTCAGAATTCTTTAAGAAACAAACCACCTATCGAAATACCTATTCCCCATCCCAATTAGACACCCCTCCATAATAAACATACAACAATGTCTGGCCGCGGTAAAGGAGGAAAAGGACTTGGAAAAGGAGGCGCAAAACGACATCGCAAAATCCTCAGAGACAACATCCAAGTAAGGCATATCAAACAATGAACGACGATGACGACAATTTTTGGCTCGCCGCTTGATGTATTCATCCATTCCGTTCCATTATTATAGGGCATTACCAAACCCGCTATTCGTCGTCTAGCCCGTCGTGGAGGAGTCAAACGTATTTCTGGTCTAATCTACGAGGAAACACGCGGAGTGTTGAAAGTCTTCCTTGAAAACGTCATTCGTGATGCCGTAACATATACCGAACATGCGAAGAGAAAGACGGTTACCTCTCTCGACGTTGGTGAGTGCGATTGTGTATTGATATGGTTATCTGACGGAAATGTTATTTGTTGATTAACGATTGCTTACTATTTTATTTACACAGTATACGCCCTCAAGAGACAAGGCCGCACTCTCTATGGTTTCGGAGGTTAAATAACCAAAAACGTTTATCAACTTGTACAGATGAAACACACTGCTCTATCACTATCGCTCTTATTATCATTTGCATAGATTGGGGGAAAGATTACAAATACATTCGGAGGCAATATGTACTTTATATTGTTTTTCTTTGCTATCTGATATTTTAATAAATAATATCCATCAATGTCGCCTGTAAAAAAATTTCCTATTTGCGATCGCTATACATTATTGAGTTTTCCCCATCTTATTGATTTACACCTGATCATCCATCCATCGTATACTGCAATGTGACTTGTATATTTATGCCAAGTTCGCGTACATGAGAGGTGATTGTTGTGATCCCGCCACAAATCTAATTTAACTTGCATCTCATTCCAGAGTATCAGCATATTATAATCGTCCCCTTTGACACACGCACAAAATGGTAACATTTCCCAATGTATAAACTTTCTCGGGCTTGTCTTCCCGATCGATTTATTAACTATTCACGTTCAATATCTAAAGTCCCAGTCAACCTGTGATGTAGACCCTGAAGTTTTACAGAAACTTCGCAAGTTTCGTTTTAGTAAACGATCGCAGAAAGGCAGTGCCGCATTCGTACGTAAGTTGGAGGGTTTTAATGAATTCATCAGTGAAATTTTTGGGAATCGCTGACAGGGCTGCTGCTTATCTTGTATCAGACGAATTAATGTTGGACGGTCTTTTTTGTTTTCAAGTAAAGATAGATCGGGAACGCTTATGTATTGTCGAGGACGAGGTGCATGATGAGATAACAATAGAGGATCTAGTAGAGGGTAACTGTATGAATCTACTTTATACGAGGAGCCATCACGTTGGGTCGAACGCTCACCATTACATACTCTTATAGAGCTCCCGGAAACCTCCCCTCGATACATTGTACTGAGTTACGAGGTATTAATGACTGCACGAGAGCTTCTTAACTTTATTGTAGAATATCTGATCTCAACTTCTCGTTAATTTTTCTTAGCTTACGCACAACGATGGACGAAAGTCGTATCCTTTAGTACTTATTTATTATGCACCAGTTTCCACAAAGCCGGAATTGCATATGTTGGTATGATTCAAGTCAAATTTGAAATGGTTTTGTTTTTAAGCATTACCCCTCTACGGCTTTTCATCTTTGTTGATTTGATCGTAGTATGCGAGCGCGAAGACCTATTTCCAACAGAGAGCAGACATTAATAAGGTACTTGACTTGTATGATAAGTTTTTGATATTGGCTCAGTAATCGCTTATATATTACCGTTTCCTACTCTCCAGGTGTTTGATATCCGCGAAGCCGAAACGCTCAGCGATGAGTGGCTACAAGTAAGTTAGATTCACTATCTGTTCGGGCTAATCTGTAACTCGGATTGCAATTCTATCAGAATGCTGAAATGATCTCTCTAACGTTTAATTAAACAGGAAAAGTTGCTCTCTTGATGATTCATTCTCTCATTAGTGGAATAATCAAAGCGAATATGTTGATAGTCGGATAATACTTTAAATTGTTTATTTAAATAAAGTGAAATGATATGTTTTCTATAAAGACTTTGTGATCGTTGCGATTATATGCAAATTCCATGAATAGAATACCGTTACAATTTGTCCAAAAACCGAGGCTCGCGGTCATCTAAAAAACGGACAATAATATCTACAACTATACAATTTCAGATTACTGTTCTAAATACTAAATGAGTAAAATAGCAGAAAACTTTCTTTCAACTATTCGAATATTATTAATTACACTTGCCACATACGTGGTTTCACAAGGTTACTAGTGATGTCTTACGATCTCTTTGGATGCTGTCTCATCTCTCATCTGCTTCAAGAACGGCATCAAGTCGGTCCCGCCAGTACCTTTGATCGTACCAGAATGGGTTGTGGTCGAGTTCTCCATAGTTGTGGCTGCGGTCGTGCCTCTATGAACTGTTGTCTTGATTAAATTGGTTGTAGATATTCCAGCAGAGAATCCTACATAAACACAACTTGTAAATTTCTCACTACATTCATGCAAATAACGGATAGTTCGTTTCCACACATACCTTTGTCAAGGCTAGGTGCATGATCCTTCGAATTAAAATGCAATCCGCCGCTTTTCCTTGCCTGATTGATAATATATACACTAACAATCTGTAGATGCTTGTTCCTAAATTCATTCATCCTAGTCAAACACTCATTATAAACGTCAACTAACGCCGCAACTTCCGCATCTCCATCATCTCCATCGCTGCAGTCCACCTGAGACATGACGTATTCGCGTATGTGAGCTACTTTGGCAAGGTCTTCGAGAAATCGCCGATGCGGGCCAGGAATGTTTTGGCGAATTTTGTGCAAGTAAGGTTGGCGGGGTGTGATACTGTGTTCCGCTTGAACTGGCGGGATGTTGTTTGGATATGAGGATGAGTTTTTGGGAGAGGTAGAATGAAGAGCATTGAAAATATTTGAATGTCCCTTTGCTTTTGGGTTCGTATTTGTCGGATAATGCTCGACGTTCAATGCAATATCCAGCGCTTGTATCAGCGCACTCTGACCAGCACTTGCTCCGACATACTGTCTAAATATGGTCTCGCCCTTTTCATCGACTTCGTCCACTCCTTCGTATATAATTCCTTTCGGTAATCGATCTTCGTTCTCCCAACCTGCCAAATATGGCCGTACTTTCCAATAGAACACATATGGATCACATTTTTCATACATTCGTTGAAGACTGTCACGGATATCTGATATCGCTTTGCTTATATCAGTGAGCGACGCAATAAGAGCCTTGTTGTTTGCATCGCGAGAAGCCTGGATAGCGGATACTATAGCAGTCAGCGCACGACTCCCAATACATTCTATCGCGGTTGTTACGAGATAAAACCAGGATTCATCCAGTGTGTTTGAATACGTATCCAATGTCGCCAGATTACTTTTAGAGAAGAAAACAGAAAGGTGAGTTTGTCTGTCAATATAGTGCGTCATTAACGTAAGATCGTTGAGTCTTCATAATCTATATCACTTACTTTAGACATAATGGTTCGTTCGGAAAAATCAATCGCCAATTCCACAAGACCACGGCTGCATGATTGACGATCGGTGCTACTTCGAGGTAAGCAGACACTTTTACCCAAGGTATAGCCAAACATGCTGGCAGTCTCTAAAAATAAACCAACAGACAATCCGATGCAACGAATTAGCACGGGGTTATTGAACATCTGTTCACTCGACAAGTCGGCTTTCGAATGGTGACCATACTCGATATTGTTCCCACCCTGTGAAAAGAGCAGACCAACAGTGCTACAGTCTACCAGCCAACAAAGCTTCTCACAAGACACGACAGATCACACTTACGTCAACAACTGGCTCAAAATTACCCCATATATATCCATGGGCGAGAATAGAGAGAACAAGAAAGGCGCGTCGAAATTCAGCTGGCGTTTTCAAACGATCTGTCTTTAGTAGTTCTAACTGAAGGGAATGAATAAGACAAATTTATAGAGAATGCTGTTAGAATTTTCATAGGACTTTTGTTTAGTACAAACATTAAAATTATAGATCTGTCAAAAAGAAAAAAGGCCATTTGTATGCCACTATTGCAAATCATTGAACCGACTATTCTACAATACACGACAAGTTATCTCCTCACCTTTCCAATACACTCCCTTAATCTCCCAGCTAGCATAAGATCATGAAAGATATCGAGTAGCGACTCCCAAGGCTCATAGTAAGGGTCAGACAGACGCCGTAATGGTGGGGTAGGCGGTAAGAACCCAGTTACTGGATCAATATCATAGTCTTCTAAACGGGGAACTGTTATTTGAGGATAGGCTTCTATATGATTTGGTGGCATCAATTAAGACTATCTATATCAGGAAAGATCCAACGAAAATAAAAAAGCGAGTAATTTAAAGAATGCTTGCTTTGTTTTTCCGCTGTTATCCTTTATATGAGTTTTTGGTGGCCGTTCGGTCGTGCTTTAAAGGAAATATTCGGAAAACAATGATCACGAGTTTTGAAGTTTGCAAGCTCCTTATCGAAAAAAAAAAAAAAAAAATATTAGACACGAATAAATTGGGGTAACAAAAGTAGCAGATATTTTTTAAATTGATCTCAACTTTAATGCCGCAGAAGATTTCAGGGGTCCACCACTGGAATTTGTGATTGGCTAGAAATGATTATATCCTATGTATATTAGTAATCCACGATCTGGTATGGTGCTGTACATTCACGAAAAAATCAGCATAATCCTCCTCTAATTGCCTGTCCGTCCGTTCGGGGGTACACGTTTCAGTTTATGTTAAGACTTGTGTCATGTTTTCAGGATCTATACGGATCTTTTGTGTATCTAAGATCGATTTGTCAGAAGATAATATTTGGTGACGTAATATATCGGATAAGATTACCATCATTTCTGCCGTATATAGCGCTAACGCCATAATCAGACTTTATTATTGGTGCGGACTTGCCGTAAACACTTGAAATATTCAAGCTGAGAAACTCGTAAAACCGGGAATGCCTTAATTTTATTTACCGAGCTTTTCATGACGTAGTTTGGACGGTAATTCACGTGTCTTGCATGCCTTTGATATTTGCGCAGCGAAAATCAAATTGCGGTTTACAAACTCAAATGCGGTTTATATTTACAAACATTTAACTTGCCTAATTAAAGAACGTATGCCAAGAATGTGATGTGAGATTAAATTCTGTGTTACAATTTAGTGTAACATGTCCAATAAGCAAAGCAGGGAAAATTTTGGCGGTTTATCCTTCATCCAAACCAAAACGGGGGGGTGAAAATAATAATAATGCTCACTCTTAATCAAAGCTTTGCTTCAACTTGCACATTTGCGGTTATCATCCGCCTATTGATGCTGCTTTATGGCGAATGGCAAGACGCACATTTACAAGTGAAATATACCGACATAGACTATAAAGTACTCACTGATGCAGCGCGTTATGTAACCATTGGTGAAAGTCCATATCAGCGGGCTACTTATCGCTATACACCCTTATTAGCCTTCTTACTGACACCAAATATATACGTCCACAAGTCTTTTGGCAAAGTTTTATTTGTTCTTGCAGATATACTCATTGGCGTTTTAATATACAAGATACTCCGCTTACGTGGTCTACCAGAACTAGACGCAGTCACTTATTCGGCATATTGGCTATATAACCCGATGGTTGCCAACATATCCACACGTGGAAGTGCTGAATCCCTGATCGGTGCACTGGTCCTTTCCACGCTTTATCTAATTACTACTAAACGCTTTTACGCAGCGAGCGTGATGTTTGGTCTATCTGTCCATTTCAAGATCTATCCGATCATATATTCGGTACCTTTGCTAATGTTATTGGATGATGAGGATTATTGGGGGATACCGTGGAAGGGTAAGGAGAAAGTTCATGATACTTGGACCGTCAAGCACTGGACAGGCAAGATTGCTCGATTTGTGACTCCGACACGTGTTTGGTTTGGGGTTATTAGTGGTGGCGTATTTTTGGTATTGAATGGAGTGATGTATTATCTGTAAGTCTCGTAATATGACAAGCTCGTCTATTATTTCTTCTTTTATCATTATAGTATAGACGCTCAGAGTTTGAACTACCTTCTGATCCTATTATAAATCATCAATCATCAATTGCACGCGATCATTTAAATCATTATCCCCGACACATAACCCAAAGCTATTCTCAAGACTTTCTAAGAGAAACGTATTTTTATCATGTTGTACGCAAGGACCATCGGCATAATTTCTCTCTCTGGTTCTATTACATCTATCTCTCCTATACCGAGCCTCATGGGACATTCCTTGGAATTGCAACATTTATACCACAGTTCTGGCTGACGTTTCTATTAGGCGCTGCCTTTGGTAAAGATTTATTCTTTGCTTGTTTCATACAAACTTTTGCATTTGTGACATATCAGAAAGTTTGCACTTCACAGGTAAGTCGCGTAATTGATTCATGAGCAGTTGGCAGAAAATAGTGAAAAAAAAAAAAGTGTAATCGCTGGCCCAAGCAATCTTTCACTCATGAAAATCCAATTTTAGTATTTCATGTGGTATACATGTCTTTTACCACTAATTCTTCCATCAACGTCGATCACCTTTAAATACAAAGGCTTCATGTTACTTCTCGCGTGGGTTGTTAGTCAGGTACTGGATCTTTCTTCATTACCGCTTTCTTTTAATTGCTTTAATCATTCGTCAACACGACCCACCATATTATACACTTTGATAGGCACTATGGCTAAATGAAGCTTACAAGTTGGAATTCCTTGGACAGAATACGTTCTTTGCTATATGGAAAGCGAGTCTGCTATTCTTTGCTTCTAATTTGTGGATATTGAAGGAACTAACATCTAAGCATAAGTTTGAATCAGTGTTTGAATTGGGCAAGGTTAGGAAGATATGGGAAAGGAGAAGTCGCATTATGGATGAGACCATGGAAAGGGAGAGTTTAATGTGATCTGTTGGTGGATAATAATAGATTGAACTTGTTGGGCATAAAGGCATGTCCAAATGTTAGTTATTTATGTGTCAGTAATGTTGCTATAAATCAAACTTGCGCAAGTAAGACGTTTGCTACGACTTTGATATATCTCTTTGATGGTACGATTCCCTTTTGCTTCTAACTGTCTCCAAATACTTTTCAATAGTGGATAAGATAGATACTATATAATCTTCATCATTTGTATCTTGTTGATTTCCAGGATCTATCAGAAGTGAGAAATCGGGGCCGTACTCTTCAAAGTATTTATGTTCAGGTATATCCTCGGATATCGGCGTGTTTGTTAGTAGACTTGTAATATAAGCATTACAGCGTGCTACGTTTGCATGGTTATATCCACCTGTGAAGAAGGTTAGATGGCTGCCAAACGATTCTCAACTTGGAAAAGTGCCGTAAACATACCTCCACCAAGGACTAGCGTAGGCTTATTCCATTCTACGACTTGACGCACACATTTGCCAAAGTTATCAATGTCCAAGTTCCATTCACGTGACGGGTCTCCTGCTAGACCTTTCGGGATTGAGCAAAATGGTGTGAGCAGATACAACTTATAAAGTTTGACAAGTCGCGCCGTGGCAAAACGGGCTTACCATCGCATCCACATTGAATTATAATTGCATCAGGCCTAAAAGCTTCAAATGTTTGTTTTGTTACTTGGGAAAATATTCGGCGGAACAATGATCCATTCAAGCCCCGCTTGAGGGGTACGTTGATTGTATGATAAAGACCAAGGCCATGACCGATGTCGTTCAGTTTACCTGTACCTGTGCAATAATCAATTATTCAAAAACTGCTAAACAATGACCGACCCAAAAGAAAGAAAGAAAGAAAGAAAGAATCGCGATTATCATTACGCCAGCATTGATTGCAACTTTTCTTACCCGGGTAGAATCCAACAGCGTAATGGTGAAATGACAGGGTCAAAATTTTATCGCTGTATAAAAATGCGCTTTCTACACCTATATACACAATCAAACTCAAAATTAATCTCTGAGGAGTTAACACGGTATTCAACCACTCGTGCGGATAACTAACCATCTCCATGATGCAAGTCGAGGTCGATGTAGAGAATTTTATCAAACTTCTTACGCAGTTCGATGATACCTATGACTATGTCGTTCACATAGCAGAAACCTTGAGCTGATGACTTTTTCGCGTGATGGCTAAGGGGGGAGAGGAGGTTGTCATCTTGTTTACGTTCGTTGTATTTAAGAAATCGCATCGTGTCTTTGGATGCTATTATGTTATAAGAACCAGATTTTCCATACTCACCGCCCTCCATCCCAGTGAATGACAACATCAACTGCTCCCTTGTTGAGAGCCTGTGCTGCGGCTATTGTTGAGCCGACTACCAAGCGTATATATTCCCCCAAACCTTTGAATACTGGGCAATCCTATCAATAATGTTAGAATCCCCCAAGATTTGAACAGAAATACTACTGACTCGTGCACTTACATGCTCTAGACCATAGTCTGAAAGTAATTCCTCATAAGAAGACTCTTCATCTGATGTAGACTTTGTGTTCTGTTTCACATTCTCGTCGTATTTCTCTGCCTGGAGCATAAATTCTTTGATGCGTGTATTAACAATTTGACCAGCATCCAATGAAAAGATCGATATATTTAAGGGCTATCTATACCAACAAAATCGCTCGAATGGAACGCTGCCAGTTCATCATCGGTAGCCGCGTAAGGCGAAATAATACTACATCACGTACAAAAGCCACGCGATAAACATCTGGGAAACCCATACTGAATACGAATAAACGACATGTTTCTGCCAGAACGTACATGACCCTGTTCCAGATGTCGTACGCCTCAATCAATGAATGTACAAGGAGGCTCTGCGATAAGAAAGCCATTGTTAGCTGGCTTATGGAAATATCATACTGTTTATAATGTGTTTGCATACCCGATCATAATTAGAAGGTAACAAAGCGGCAACATCAGCGTACGCCATTGAATAAACATATCCAACACATCTATGATTATTATGACGCTGTCTTCGTTTCCGAGAAGTGCTCTCGCAGCTGCTGGCTTCAAGGAAAGCATTATCTACCGATCTGGAACGCTTGATCAAGCAATCATCGGTTCTTATGTCATTAATGTTTATGCTACGCGTATTTGGCTGACTAGATAATCTATCACTATCTACCACCGAATTAACCATCTCGATGTTAAAATGATCCATTATCAAATTTGCCTAATTCAGTGAACACGAAATAAACAACTCTTGTACAACATAGTATGGTTCGCATCCTTATTAGGATTCAGCCAAAGTTCATAAAGAATTGGGTATGTTTCCTGTTAGTTTAAACTTCACAAGGCCATTTTTATATGCTATAATTTTATATTGTCGTTACTACGTGTGTACGGATATTTAAAAACTTAACAATATGTTATAATTAATGTATTATTAATAAAAAATCGTTCACTCGTTAAGAAATTTGTTTTTGTTTTTTTTTTTAATATTATGTAGAACAATCGAATTAACAACGTTATCTAAAAGTTGAATATACAACGCAACAAATCTTTGCCGCCAATGCCTTTGCTGATGCTGCTACTCATTGTTGAAAAGTAAGTCTGGAATATTTAGACTATTAATGGTCTACTTTTAATAACAGTATTGGTACGTCTTTATTATACAATGCTAACACGCGTCTACTCATACATATATAACCAGGCGCTTCTTTCCATTGCGCGCAGTGTATAACAAAGAGAGAAAAATAAAATAAAATTCAAGCGCGTACGTTGTACCCAAAATGGATGTCTTTATATCGTAAATACTAACTGTTGGTTTTTCTAAGCCGTCAAAAAATAAGTCCAACCTCATAGACAATCACTTTAATGGAATTGACAAACAAACCTGTGAACTAATAATAGAAAATAAGGGTAAACGAATGCTCTGTATACATCGTTAAATAACACGTTGAAATCCTAAGTTAATTCTGTAAAGAGAACAGGACTTTCTTGTTTCGGTAAGAAATGGTTATCGAAATCTTAAATACAGGTTAATTTCTTAGTAACAAAATATTATATGGGGCAGACTGCAACAAAACCAGACAAAGTGAACATTTGACCATGTGAACTAAAAATGGACCTTTGGCTTGACACTTATTGCATCTGTTCTTAATGTTTGTATACTAAAAGGTTCATTTTTAGACGCAACATGTACTAGGAAGCGCTGTCCCAAAACAATTAAACAGCACTTGTTGGGTGAGCTGAATGTTGAGAATTCAATAATCGGACAAAACGAAATTGCGTAAGTATTTGATTTAGTTTTGGCGAATATGAATTCATCTTGCTTTTATACGCGAATGCTAGTCGCATTTGCTTAGAACATAGCAATATGTCTAAAAAGATGAGCCACAACTATAAAATGTCATGAGCTAAATTAGTTCATTTTCCACTACACCAGCCATTTTTGGTTCACATGGTCAAATGTTCACTTTTTCTGGTAAGAAAACGTGGTTTACATGACGCAAGTCGATTCGGAACAGACATTTTGACGCATCATCCTAATTATAAATCTAAACGTGTGGTTTTATTCTTCAGGCACTTTCAAAAAAAAATGGCCCTTAAATGAGCGCTTCTGCCCTCAAATATTATTGGGTTTGCGCGATATTTGACCGATATGCCTATAAACATTCCAATTACAACAGCGTATTCTTCATTACAAAATACACGACAAATGCGTCCAATAATTGCACTCAAACTTAAGAGCATCTCGCTACTCCACGAGTTAAGTGAGACCTGTCGTTATCTTACACAAAATGCTAGTGCGCGTTTATTAATTCTTGTATACAATTCAGTTCAGGTGTTCTCAAAGGACATGAGAAACATTATATAATATTCAGTCAACCAACCGTCCACTTTTAGTACTTATTGGTGGGCGACTCGACTCCCTTCCGGCTATTAAAGAATTCTTTATTGATCGTTATGAGCTAGAAGAGACAAATTAAGCGCCATGTTTAGTATGTGATTTTTTACGCTCTTATGACACGCGTACACGACTTTACCTTTGTATTCTCATGCTGCTGAATGCGATTCCAAGGGTGCAAGGGCGCAGTTTTGTTAATGATGACGTCCGGGTTAGTACTCAATACGTAACCAGCAAAACTGCGACGGAATTAGCAGCGTTAAAAATAATTGTTACGGCAATGGGTGACATTAATGCGCTTTTAGACTTACGTCATGCTACCAATAATGCCAGCTCCGGAAGCAACGAATAAAGGGATTAACTATATAATGAATGATGTTAACAGTCATTGTCTATACCAGTACGCTTTAATGCTTGTCTTGTGTTATTCGTCGCTCTTTTACTTTCAGTCTCTATAATACTTACGGCTGGGTTCTTCCTGAAGAAAGCGCTAGCCATTGTAATATTTTATTCTTGAGAGTGGGGAGGGTATTTCGTAAAGTGAATTTAGTAATAGTAAATGTCGTCACAAAGAAACAGACTCGGCGATGGGAATATTCCTTGTTTTGAGTACCCTGTGGAGGTCACAAGGTCTTTTATGTTGATAAGACCCGCGCCTGAAGATAAGATATTGGCTGAAGATCCGCGATATTTATTGGACAAGCTTGTTAAAGTTCCCAAGCACGAAGCTCATTGTTTCCCATGCACAAGGTTTTGTGTTCATTGTATAATGAAGAGGCTTACGTTAAGTAGTATTACTAATACTAATACTAATACTAATAACAGTTAGTATAAAACCAAATAGAATTTTATAGCCGACTTTACTACATTCATTCTTTAACTATATTTTCCATCGCCTATCTTTGGTAACGATAGTGACTATAATAATAATAGAATAATAATAACAAGATTATAGGTAAACTGGGCAAGTTACACAATATGATAAACAGGGCATATTTGTACAGCCTACCTGCATTCACAAAATTGAATCGCCTTTTTTATCAACCAGTTAGGCGTTAAGAAATAGAATTAAATTTCGTATTTCCTTCATATTACCATATTTTTATTTGTCGAACGTGACCCAGTTCTTTTCCAAGACCGAGTTATTTCGCGTGAGTGGGAGAGAATGCGTTCCAATATTAATGTTGAAAAAAAAAAAAAAAAAAAAGGATGTCACAAAATTTGGAAAATTTAGAAAGAATGGGGTAGAAAAATATTCCTCGTGTGACTGATAAAAATTGTTGTCAACAATTTATTGAAAAATAATGGAAAAAGAGCCGATTATTAAACCTAATTAATGAAATTTAAGCTTTAAATTGATATATTTATTGTATACTTTAATGCAATGGTTGCGAAATTATAGTGAGGCAACTTTTTCGTCACATACTGTATATTCGAGTATACGCAAATTAATTATCGGTTCCCATATTGGAAATTGCCTGGTGTTTTAAATTAGCTACATTCTAACGGCACCCCCATAATCAATACAATCGTCGTATGGAATCCATTCCAAATAGGCATGATTTGGTGAGTTTGTTTGTAATTGAGATTTCTTAATAAACTCATCGAGTTGCTTATTGTTGCTAGTCCATCCATCAGATAATTGTTTATGCCCGCAAATGCACCACACGGGACTACATCGGAGTATTCCACATGCAATGCAGAAGCCATATCGAGAATAACAATTGTAAAACTTTCTATCGGCAACCATGTAATAACTACCGTCATACTCGGTAAATCCTTTTATCATGAAGTTGCGTTCCTTAAGCCATACGGAATATCTTCTAAAAGTTGTCGCTATTATTATTGTACTTGTGTGTCGGAAGTGAGTATATTCTAGCAAACTCACGCATAAGTGTTGGCGTACATGTCTCATCATTTCCAAGTAGTGAAAGCATTATCGTCGTTTCCTTGACTTCATCTCCATCCAGCGTTCGCTTGTAAATAGCGTAATGAACATTGTCAATTTGAGTTGGTTTTATGTCGCTGACTTCTTCGTAAGAAATCCATTCAAATAATAGGATTGAACCATTGCTGGATTATTAACCCCTGGAACTAATGACATCGTTTGAATAAGATCGATTACGATTCACGGAGAGAGGATTCTCAACGTTTATTGTGTTACATCACACGATAAACGTATTTCAAAGGGACTATTACTATATACAGTCAACTCTGTTTATACCGGAAATGTATATACCGGAATCTCACGGACAGATTCTTGCGCACCGTTCGTTTCATATGAAAATTCTTTGT